AATATGGCAACAATATGAGGGAATAAAATCTTCAATATTTGTGGCAAATACTTGGTATCATTAATGTATAAAGAGTTCTTAAAGACCTTTAAAAAAGAAGACAAATACCACAATAAAAACTTGGGCAAAGAAAATAAACAGGCAATTCAAAAAGGGGGAAAATTCAAGTGACCGATTATCAGCTAACCCTGAGTCTTTGCACTCCAGTCCCCAGGCCTGGCCGCTAGCCTGAGCCCCTGACTGGGTTCCTTGTGTCGCGGGGTGTGGTGTGGAGTCGCTTCCTGTCAGGTCTGACCTGGGGGCCCCTTGCTTGGGCCCCATAGTGCGCTCCCCTCAGTGCCCCTTGTGCCTCCCTCTGTCTCCTGGTCCTCGCACAGCCCCTCTCTCCCCTTCCCCTCATGCTTTCCCCTGGTGCTCTCGGGTCTCCTGCTCCTTGGGTCCCTTACCTGGGCTCCTGGCTTGGGTCCTGGCTTTAGCCTCTCTCGACACCCACTGCGACCCCCAGCCGTGCTTTCCCCTGGCTCTCCTCCTGGCCCCCTCCCTTTCCAGGCCCCATTTGCCAGGTCCCTGGTTCTGGATTCTCATCTGGACCAGGGCGCCTTATGGGAAACAGAGCCCTGCCCCTCACCTGGGCCCCTTGCTCTTCCTGGTCCCCTGTTGCTGCACCCGGAACCCTGACACCTGGCAGTGGCCCTGGGCCTGGAGCTTAGCTCCACACTGCCAAATCCTCTACCTTCCCTCCCCAGCCTTGTCCACTTTCCTGAGCCCCCTGCCCTAATCCTGGCCCTTGGCTCTTTATTCCCTGACCTGGTTCCTCAATTGAGACTCTGGTTGCCCTTATTGCTCAGTGAGTCCCTGGGCTTGACTGCGGGCCCCTCCACAGGGCTGCTTCCCTACTCTCCTTGGATTCCCTGTACTGCAGTACCCTGGTGCCGCCCCGCCTTCTCTGCCCTCCCTTACTCATTTAGGTCCCTAGCCTGGGCTCCTTTCTGAGATCCTGGCCCCCACCCCACCCACACCCACTTTCCAGCCATATAGGCTGTGCTTTCCTTAGGCCCTCCTATTGTCCCTGTCCCTGCCAGGCCCCATTTCCCCATTCTCTTCCCAGGATGCTTACCGGGGCCAGGGGATTGGACCTGGTGTCTTGGCCCTGCTGGCTCCATTTGGGAAAATGAAGCCCTACCCCTTGCCTGGGTCCTTTGGCCTCCCTCAGCCCCGGACCTGCTCTGGAACCATGACACCCAGCAGTGGACCTGGGCCTTGAGGCTTCCTCCTCCTGCGCCACCTGCCCCCCTTTCTCTCCTCCCCCTTCTCCCCTGACCTGTCCCTTTACATGCACCACGCCCCCACACTCTCAGAAGGCTCTCCGTTCCTGGCCCTGGCTCCTGGCCGCCCTTCTCGGAGACCCTGATCCTGTCTCTTGATTTTAGGCTTCTTTTTCCAGCCCCCTCCTGTGCCTCCATTTTGTTCCCCTTGTGCTGTGATATTTGCCAGGACCCTCCACTTCCCCTGATTTTCTCGACCCTGTGCTCATCGAATGGGTCCTGGCTTTCCACCGAGCACCCCTCCCCCAACTCCGCATGCCAGGTATCCCCTCACAGTGCCCTCTTTTGGCCCTCCTTTGGTTCAGGTCCCTCTCTGAGGATCTACTCACCTGGGACAGAGGAGTGTAATGGGCTGGCCTCTGTGCCCTGAATGGTCCCTATAGGAAACACAGCCCTACCCCTCCCCTGGGTCCCCATCTATGCCCGAACCTTGACACATGGCAGTGGGCTTGAAGCATGCGCCAACCTAGCCCTGAGCAATCCCCTCCCTTGTCTCCCCTGCCCTCTCACCTTGCATGCTGTCGTAACCCCAATCCAGCCCTCCCTAACCCTGCGCCTTTGTGCTCCAGTCCCCAGGCCTGGCCACTAGCCTGAGTCCCAATCTGGGTTCCTTGTGTTGCTTGGCAAGGTGTGGAGTTTCTTCTTGTCAGGTCCTGGGGGCCCCTTGCCTGGGCACCCTAGTGTGCTCCCCTCAGTGCCCCTTGCATCTCTCTTTGTCTCCTGGTCCTCGCGCAGCCCCTCCCTCCCATTCCCCTCGCGCTTTCCACTGGTGCTCTCAGGTCTCCTGCTCCTTGGGTCCCTCATCACAATCGGTCGGGTGGGTCCCTTGCCTGGGTGCCTGGCTTGGGTCCTGGCTCTCGCACACACACTGCGACCTCCCGACCTCCCACCGTGCCCTCCCGTCGCCATCCTCCTGGACCCCTTACCTTGTCAGGCCTCTATTGCCAGGTCCCTGGCCCTGGATTCTCCTCTGAGCCAGCGTGCCTTATGGGAAACAGAGCCCTGCCCCTTGTCTAGGCCCCTTGCTCTCCCTGCATGCTTCCTCCTGCACCAGAAACCCTGAAACCTGAAGGTGACCTGGGGCCTGGAGCCTGACTGCCCCCTGCTGGATCCCCTGCCTTCCCTCCCAAGTATTTTCCACTGTCCTGAGCCCCCTGCACAAGCCCTGGCTCTTGGCTCTCTGTTCCCTGGCCTGGCTCCTCGCTTGAGCCTCTGGTGGCCCTTGTTGCTCTGTACTTTTCTGGGCTTTGTCTGAAGGCCTCTCGCTGGGGCTGCTTCCCTGCTGCCCTTGGCTTCCCTGTACTGCAGTACCCTAGAGCAGCCCCGCCTTTCTGGTCCAGCACTTCCCTGCTCTCCCTTGGCCTGGGCCCTCCTCTAGGTCCCTTGCTTGGGCTCCTTGCTGGGGTCCTGGCCCCCAACCACCCACACCCTTCCTGCGGCCCTTCAGGTTGTGCCCTCCTTTGGCCCACCTGTTGTTTCTGTCTCTGCCAGGCCCACTTTCCTGATCCCCTTCCCAGGGTGCTCACCCGGGCCTTGACCTGGCCTCTTGGCCCTGTGGGCTCCCTTTGGGAAAACGCAGCCTTGCCCCTTGCCTGGCCCCTTTGGCCTCCCTCAGCCTGAGCCCTGCTCAGGAACCCTGACACCTGCAGTGGACACGGGCCTTGAGCCCTCCTCCCCCTGTGCCACCCGTTCCCTTTCTCCCCTCCCACCTCTCCTATCCATGTCCTTTTTCATTCACCCAAGCCCAGGTGCTAGAACTTGGCCCTTCATTACTGGACCGACTCCTTGCTTGAGCCCCTGGCCTCCTTTCTCCGAGGACCCTGTCCCTGTCCTTTGGTTTCAGGCCCCTTTTGCTGGCCCCTCCTCTGTTCCCCTCATGCTGTGGTATCCTGGCACTGCCCAAACCCTCCGCTCCCCCTGCTTCTCCCTAGCCTAGGCTCCTCAAACGGGTCCTGGCAACCCACCGACCCTCCCCACCAACCTCCACACACCAGGTATCTCCTCAGTACCCTCTTTTGCCCCTCCTTTGGCCAATGTCCCTCTCGGAGGATCTACTCACCCTGGGCAGAGGAGCAGAATTGGCTGGCCTCTGCACCCTAAATGCTCCCTATGGGAAACACAGCCCTGACAGTCGCCTGAGTCCCCTTTGTAGCCTGAAACTTGAGGCCTGGCAGTTAACATGGGACTTGCTCCAAGCCAGCCCTGAGAGATTCCCTCCCTCCCCTCCCCTGCCATCTCGCCTTGCATGCTGCTCCTACCCCAACCCAGCCCTCCCTAACCCTGACCTTTTGCGCTCCATTCCCTGGGCCTGGGCGCTCGCCTGAGCCCCTGACCGCATTCCTCATGTCCCTTGGCATAGCATGGATCTTCATGTTGTGTCTGACCTGGGGATCTTTGCTTGGTCCCACCAGCGGGCTGCCCTAGGTGCCTCTTGTGCTTCCCTCTGTCTCCTGGTCCTCGCGCAGCCCCTTCTTCCCCTTCCTTTTGTGCTTTCCCCTGGCGTTCACAGGTCTCCTGATCCTTGGGTCCCTCATCACCATTGGTTGGGTGGGTCCCTTGACTGGGCACATGGCTTGGGTCCTGGCTCTTGCCCCTCTGTGCACCCACCCTGACCCCCTGCTGTCGCCCTCCTCTTGCCCCCTTCCCTTGCCAGGCCTTTTTTGCCAGGTCCCTGGCCCTGGAATCTCATCTGAGCCAGGGCACCTTATGGGAAACAGAGCCCTGCCCCTTGCCTGGGCCCCTTGCTCTCCCTGGGTGCTTCCTCCTGCACCAGGAACCCTGAAACATGAAGGTGGCCCTGGGCCTGGAGCCTGACTGCCCCCTGCTGGATCCCCAAGTCTTGAACACTGTCCTGAACCCCTTGCCCAAGCCTGAGCCCTTGGCTCTACGTTCCCTGACCTGGCTCCTTGCTTGAGCCTCTGGTGGCCCTTGATGCTCCGCTTGTCCTTTGCCTTGACTATGGGCCCCTTGCTAGGGCCACTTCCCCGCTGCCCTTGGTTTTCTGCACTGCAGTCCACTGGTGCCTCCTGTGTGCCCTACCCTACTCTTCCCTGCTCTCCCTTGTCATGGGCCCTCCTCCTGGGCTCCTTTCTGGGTTCCTGGCCCCCACGCCACCAGCACCATCCTTCGGCCCTTCACGCTGTGCCCTCCTTTGGTCCCTGTCCCTGCCAGGTCCCCTTTCCTGATCCCTTTCCCAGGATGCTCACCTGGGCCAGGGGAGTGGACCTGGCCTCTTGGCCCTGCAGGCTCCCTTTGGGAAAACATATCCCTGCCCCTTGCCTTGGGCCCTTTGTCCTCCCTCAGCCGGGGCCCTGCTCCTGAATCCCAACACCCTGCAGTGAACCTGGGCCTTGAGCCTTCCTCCCCCTGCACCACCAGCTCCTCTCTGTCCTCTCCCTCCCTTCCTAAGCCCTGCATGGTCCCTGGCACTTGGCTCTGCATTCCTGGGCCTGCCTAGCTTCTTGCTTGAGCCCCCGGCTGCCCTTCTTAAGGACCCTGTGCCTGTCCCTGAACGTGTCCCTTGATTTCAGGCCCCTTGCTCCAGCCCCCTTGTGTGCCTTTCCTCTGTTCCCCTTGTGCTGTGGTATCCTGGCACTGCCCGGACCCTACGCTTGCCGCAGTCTGTTTGGCTGCAGCAAAATAACCGGGGGGTGACGAATAACTTGTGTACGTTGATACAGCAGGAGTGGGAGCCGTTTATTGCAGGACAGGAGCAGTATTTATACATTCCACACAGCTTATCTAATTAGCATAAACTAGATACATCAGTCAACCAATAAGGAATCTCCACACTTAATGGCTCGCTTTTGTTACTTCTCAAACCACTCCCTCTGGCATTTTGCCAGGCACCATCCAGACTTGTTTATGAACTCTAACATTCCTCTGGCAAGATGCCAGGTGTTATTCTGACTTGTTTACAGACTCTAACATTTCCCCCTTTTGTTTAATTTAAATAACAACCATAGTGGTTTTTACAGAAACACCATAAATAACCTGCTACAAACAGAAAGGGAGGATACAAAATGCCACAATACCAAGCCAATTGATGGCTCCATGCAAGAAGCCCTTGGAAAAATTATACCAGCAATGACACTGTTAGCAAAGATACCGAGTTACAATTTGTTGTAGATTATAGTTTGTTGTCTCAGTCCAGGTAAAGCAGTGTCTCAATAGATTAACTCACAGTCCAGGTAAGTTCTGCAGGCAACTAGCTTAAATCACAGTCCAGGTAAGTTCTGCAGGCAGCTAGCCTAAACTGTAGCAGCAGAAACAGCAACAGCTCCGAAGTCTCGTCCGTTTCTCAGCCGAAGTTTTGTCCGGTTCTCAGCAACACTGGAAATTCTTCCACCCTCGTTTTCACTGGCACTGGGACGAAGGCAGGAACTCCGGATGGCTAAAGAAAATCCTGTAGCATTCTACTAAGAAAACAACCTTCTGAACAATTTAGTACATTATCTCAAGGATTTTACATTTGAAATAAGCCTTAAAGGTGCTCATTACTCATTAGCTTCCAGGTGTGGGAGAACCATTGTAGCTTAGTTATTGGCATTGAAAATGACCAAACATCAGGGACGCTGGTAGCGTCTTCTGCTGGCTGTAGCATCCCGGGCAGCCCCAGATGGCCCTGGGGAGAGTCCCGGTCTCAAACTGCTTCCGTGCACAGGGAGCAAGAGCCTGCGAGACCATGCCTCCCAGTCAAGTTTGGATTTGGGCTCTCACAGTGGTGTCCCGCTCCCCGGGCGGGGGGCGGGGAAGAGCCGGCTGCTGCTGCTTGGAAAAACCTTGCTGCGCCATGAGCGTTTTTGCGCACGTGGCAGCCGCTGCGTGCCGATTCACGCACCCTCCGGTAACGAAAAGTATTCAGTAATAGCCTTTTGCTGCAACTTTTTTCCTGATAATCCTTCTTCTTCTGAACTTTCTTTTTCTTTCTGACTAGAGTTCCTGGGCTCTTATCAACACATGCCCTAACTATTCTTGGTTCCACTGGGGTGCCTCCTTCCCTTATCAATTTACTTCTCACCCCTTTAATATTCTCATCACAAAGACAATACAATACACTGAGACAAAATAAGACACAAACATACTGTATCAATCTTCTCCATTTTCTCGAAATGGCCATTTTTCCTCTCACCCTATCTGCCTAGGGACGAGCAGATTGCTCCCGTCCTATCTATGGACGGGCAGCTTTTTTTCGTCACTTACCCCCGAGTGTCCCGGGACTCCCGGTACGGGCCACCATCTGCCGGAGTTGGGCTGGCTGGGCAGAATAACCGGGGGGTGACGAATAACTTGTGTACGTTGATACAGCAGGAGTGGGAGCCATTTATTGTAGGACAGGAGCAGTATTTATACATTCCACACAGCTTATCTAATTAGCATAAACTAGATACATCAGTCAACCAATAAGGAATCTCCACACTTAATGGCTCGCTTTTGTTACTTCTCAAACCACTCCCTCTGGCATTTTGCCAGGCACCATCCAGACTTGTTTATGAACTCTAACATTCCTCTGGCAAGATGCCAGGTGTTATTTTGACTTGTTTACAGACTCTAACATACGCTCCCCCTGCTTCTCCTTAGCCTGGGCTCCTCCAATGGGTTCTGGCTCCTCACCCACACAGCCACTCCCGCCCCAGCTCCAGGAAGCAGGGTATCCCCACACAGTGCCCTCCTTTGGCCCTCCTATGGTCCCCATCCCTCTCTGAGGATCTACTCACCTGGGGCAGAGGAGTGGAATTGGCTGGTCTCTGCGCCCCGAAGGCTCCCTATGGGAAACACAGCCCTGCCCCTCACCTGGGCCCCCTTTGATGCCAAAACCCTGACACCTGGCAGTGGACTTGGGCCTGGCGTGGACTTTGGCCTTGGCGATCCACTCTCCTGCCCTACGGCCTTGCAAGCTGCACCTACCCCAACCCAACCCTCCCCAACCAGTCCCCAGGCCTGGCTCCTCGCCTGGGCCCCTGACGGCATTGGTCGCGTCCTGTGGAGTTGCGTGGTGTCCGTCCGTGTTGGGTTGGACCTGGTGGCCCCTTGATTAAGCCCCCTACCACACTCCCATAGGTGCCCCTTGCTCTGCCTGCCCACATTCTCTTCGTCCTCGCGCCGCTTCTTCTCTTCTTTCCGGCTTTCTCCCTGGGCAGTCTCCCTGCTCCTAGGGTCCCTCATCACCATTGGTCCGGTGGGTCCTTTGCCTGGGCTCCTTGCTTGAGTCCTGGCTCTCACCCCTCTCCGCAGCCATCATGACCCCCGCCAAGCCCTCCCATCCCCTCCTCCTGGCCCCTATCCCTGGCCAGGCCCCTTTTGCCAGGTCCCTGGCCCACGATTCTCATCTGAGCCAGAGCGCCTTATGGGAAACAGAGCCCTGCCTCTCGCCTGGGCCTCTTGCTCTCCTTGGGCCCTTGGTCCTGCACCTGAAACCCTGACACCTGGCAGCGGCCCTGGTCCTCGATCCTGCCTCTCCCGCCCACTGCTGGATGCCCTGCCTTCCATCCCCAGCCCTGTCCACTCTCCTGAGCCTCCTGCCCCAGCCTCAGCCCTTGGCTCTCCATTCCCTGGCTGGCTCCTCGCTTGAGCCTCTGGTGGCCCTTGTTGCCTGGCACGTCCCTCGCCTTGACTGCAGGCCCCTTGCTTGGGCCACTTCTCAGCTCCCCTTGGTTTTTCTGCACTGCAGTGCCACCTGCCTGCCTGGCTGTGTCCTTCCCTGCTCTCCCCTGGCAGGGGCCCTCCTCAAGGTCCCTAGCCTGGGCTCCTTGCTGGGGTCCTAGGCCCCAGCCTCGAGCACCATCCTCTGGCCCTTCACGCTGTGCCCTCCTTTGGCCCTCCTTTTGTCCCTGTCCCTGCCAGACCCACTTTCCTATCCCTTTCCCAGTATGCTCACCCGGTCTAGGGGAGTGGACCTGGCTTCTTGGCCCTTGTAGCTCCCTAGAAGAAAACGGAGCCCTGCCCCTTGCCTGGGCCCTTTAGCCTCCCCAAGCCCAGCCCTGCTCCCAACCCTGACACCCAGCAGTGGACCTGGGCCTTGAGCCCTCCTCCCCCTGTGCCACCCACTCCCCATTCTTACCTCCCTCCCCTCCCTAGTCCTGTCTGTTTTCATGGGACCCCTGCCCAGGCCAACACACTTTGCTCTCTATTCCTGGGCCTGGCTCCTTGCTTGAGGCTGCCCTTCTCCAGGACCCTGTCCCTTTCCCTTGATTTCAGGCCCCTTTTTCGGGCCCACTCCTGTGCCTCCCCTCTGTTCCCCTTGTATTGAAGTGGCACCCCCTCTCTCCACAGAAAAGTCTTAACTGGCTTCTCCAGAAATCTTCACCATGACTGATTTTAGGACTGTCAGCAAAAGAGTCTCTGCGAAAGAGTTCAATGTAGATAAACTTCCTATTTTACTGTTGCCCTGTTGATTCTCATCTGGGCCAGGGCACCTTGTGGGAAACAGAGCCCTGCCCCTCACCTGGGTCCCTTGCTCTTCCTGGGCCCTTGGTCCTGCACCCAAACCATGACACCTGGCAGTGGTGCTGTCACTTGAGCATGGCTCCCCACTGCCGGATCCCCTGCCTTCCCTCCCCAGCCGTGTCCACTGTTCTGAGCCCCCTGCCCCAGCCCTGGCCCTTGGCTCTGCATTCCCAAGCCCGGCTGCTCGCTTGACACTCTGGTGGCCCTTCTTGCTCTGTGCGTCCCTGGGCTTGGACTGCGGGCCCCTTGCTTGGGCCGCTTCCCTGTTCCCCTTGGGTTCCCTGCACTGCAGAAACCTAGTGCCGCCCTCCTACCTGGCCCCATGCTACCGCTACCCTGTTCTCCCCTGTCCTGGGCCCTGCTCTAGGTCCCTAGCCTGGGCTCCTTGCTGGGGTCCTGGTCCCCACCCCACCAACTCCAGACCTCAGGCCTCCACGCTGTGCCTTTCTTCGGCCCTCCTGTCGTCCTTGTCCTTGCCAGGCCCATTTTACTGATTCTTTTTCCAGAATTCTCACTAGGGCCAGGGAAATAGACCTGGTTTATTATCCCTGTGGGCTCTCTTTGGGAAAATGTAGTGCTGCTGCTTGTCTGGGCCCTTTGGCCTCCCTCAGCCCGGGCCCAGCTGTCCAACCCTGACACCCAGCCAACAGTGGACCTAGGCCTTGAGCCCTCCCATCCCTGTGCCACCCGCTCACCTTTCTCCCCTCCCTCCCCTTCCCAGCCCTGTCCCTTTTCATGCAACCCTGGCCAGGGCCAAGGGCCTTGGCTTTCCATTCCTGGGCCTGGTTCCTTGCTGGAGCCCCTGGCTCTCCTTCTCGAGGACCCTGTCCCTGTCCTTGTCCCTTGATTTCAGGCTTCATTTTCGAGCCCCCACTGTGCCTCCCCTCAGTTCCCCTTGTACTGTGTATCCTGGCACTTCACAGACCCTCCCCTCCCCCTGCTTCTCCCTAGCCTGGGCTTCTTGAATGGGTACAGGTTCCCCATGACCGCCCCCCCAATTCCGGAAGCAAAAGATCAATTCACATTGCCTTCCTCAGCCTTCCTTTGGTCCTGTCTCTCTCTGAGGGATCTACTTACCTGGGGCAGAGGAGTGGAATTGGCTGGCTTCTGCACCTTGAAGGCTCCCTGTGGGAAACACAGCCCTGTCCGTCACCTGGGCCCCCTTTGATGCCAAAACCCTGACACCTGGCAGTGGACGTGGGCCTGGCGCTGACCTTGGTTTTGGCGATCCCCTCCCCTGCCCTCTGGCCTTGCAAGCTGCACCTACCCCAACGAGCCCTCCCCAACTCTGACCCTTTGCACTCCAGTCCCCAGGCCTGGGTCCTCACCTGGGCCATTAACCGCGTTTGTCGTGTGGCGTAGTGTCAAGTGGTGCTGTGTGGTGTTGTGTGCAGTTGTGTGGTGTCGTGTGGAGTTGTGTCATATTGTGTGGAATCGCGAGGCATCGCTCAGTGTCGGGTCGGACCTGGGTGCCCCTTGATTGGGCCCCCTACCGCGCTCCCATAGTTGCCCCTTGCGCCGCCCACCCACTCTCTCCTCGTCTTCGCGCTGCCCCTTCTTCCCCTTCCCTGCTTTCCCCTCGCGCGGTCTCCCTGCTTCTTGGGTCCCTCATCGTCCTAGGTCAGGTGGGTCCCTTGCCTGGGCTGCTTGCTTGAGTCCTGGCTCTCACCCCTCTCCGCACCCACCGCGACCCTGAGCAGAGCCCCCCCACCCCACCCCCCGGTCCTCTCCTCCAGGTCCCCGTCCCTGGCCCTCCATTCTCATCTGAGCCAGGGTGCCTTATGGGAAACAGAGCCCTGCCCCCTCGCCTGGGCCCCTTGCTTTCCCTGGGTGCTTCGTCTTGCACCAGGAACCCTGAAACCTGGAGGTGGCCCGGGGCCTGGAGCCTGATTGCCCCCTGTTGAATCACCTGCCTTCCCTGCCAAGTTCTTGTCCACTGTCCTGAGCCACCTTCCCTAGCTCCTCACTTGAGCATCTGGTGGCCCTTCTTGTTCCCTGTGTCCCTGGGCTTTGATTGCGGGCCCCTTCCAGGGGTAGCTTCCCTGCTCTCTTGGCTTCCCTGTACTGCAATACCCCAGTGCAGCCCTTCCTTCCTGGCCCCTCCCTTCCCTGCTCTCCCCTGGACTGGGCCCTCCTCTAGGTCCCTAACCTGGGCTCCTTGCTGGGGTCCTGGCCCCCACCCCACCCACACCCGTCCACAGGTCCCTCAGGCTGTGCCTTCATCCCTGACCCTGCCAGGGCTGCTTTCCTGATCCCCTTCCCAGGATGGTCACCCATGCCAGGGGACTGGACTTGGCCTCCCTTTGGGAAAACGTAGCCCTGCCCCTTGCGTGGGCCCTTGACCTCCCTCAACCCGGTCCTGCTCCCAAAACTTGCCACCAGGCAGTGGACCTGAACCTTGAGCCTTCCTCAGCCTGTACCACCCGCTCCCCTTTCTCCCCTCCCTCCCCTCCCCATCCCTGACCATTTTCATGCTCCCAGGCCCAGGTGCTTGAAATTGGCTCTCCATTCCTGGGCCTGGCACCTTGCTTGAGCCCCTGGGCACCCTTCTTGAGGACCCTGTCCTAGTCCTTGGTTTCAGGCTCCTTTTTCCAGCCCTCTCCTGTGCCTCTCCTCTGTACCCCTTGTGCTGTATCCTCGCACTGCCCGGACCCTCTAATCCCCCTGCTTCTCCCTAGCCTGGGCTCCTCCACCGACTCCCCCTACCTCCTCACACCAGGTATCCCCTCACAGTGCCGCCTTTTTCTCCTCCTTTGATTGGGGTCCCCCTCTGAGTATCTACTCACCTGTGGAAGAGGAGTGGATTTGGATGGCCTCTGCAACCTGATTCTCCCTATGGGAAACACAACCCTGCTTCTTGCCTGGGTCCCCTTTGGCGGTGCCCAAACCTTGATGACTGGTAGTGAACGTGGGACTTGTGCCAACCTAGCTCCCCTACTTTCTCTCCCCGGCCCTCTCACCTTGCATGCTGCCCCTACCCCAATCCAGCCCTCCCTAATCCTGACCCTTTGAGCTCCATTCCCTGGACCTGGCAGCTCGCCTGAGCCCCTGACTGCATTGCTCATGTTCTTTGGCATAGCATGGAGTCTCTTCACATCAGGTCTGACATGGGGGCCCTTGCTTGGGCCCCCTAGCGCGCTCCCCTGGGTGCCCCTTGCACCTCCCTCTGTCCCCTATTCCTCACGCAGCCCCTTCCTCCCCTTCCCCTCGCGCTTTCCCCTGGCTCTCTAGGGTCTCCTGCTCCTTGGTTTCCTCATCCTGGTCAGGCAGGTCAGTCCCTTACCTAGGCTCCTGGCTGGGGCCCTGGCTCTCGCCCTTCTCTGCACCCACATAATGCCCTGCCGAGCCCTCCCATCGCCCTCATCCTGGCTCCCTTCCCTTGCCAGGCCTCCTTTGCCAGGTCCCTGGCCCTGGATTCTCATCTGAGCCAGTGTGGGAGACAGAGCCCTGCCCCTCACCTGGGCTTCTTGCTCTCCCTGGTCTCTTGGTCCTACACTCGGAACCTTGACACCTGGCAGTGGCCCTCAGCCTGGATCCTGCTGCCCCCTGCCAGATCCCTTGCCTTCCTTCCCAAGTCTTGTCCACTGTCCTGAGCCCCCTGCCCCAGCCCTGGCCCTTGGTCTCCATTCCTCTAGGTCCCTTGCCTGGGCTCCTTGCTTGGGTCCTGGCCCCTACCCCACCCACACCCCTCCTGAGGCCCTCCTTTGGCCCTCCTGTCCTTTATGTCTCTGCCAGGCCTGCTTTCCTGATCCACTTCCCAGGATGCTCACCTGGGCCAGGGGACTGGACCTGGCCTCTTGGGCTTGTGGGCTCCCTTTGGGAAAACATAGCCCTGACTCTTGCCTGGGCCCTTTGGCCTCCCTCAGCCTGGGCCCTGCTCCCGAACCCTGACACCCTGCAGTGGACCTGGGCCTTGAGCCTTCCTCCCCTTGCGCAGATGCTTCCCTTTATCCCCTCCTTCCCTTCCCTCCCCTCCTCATCCATGTCCCTTTTCATGCATCCAGGCCCAGGTGCTAGCACTTGGCTTTCTTTTACTGGGCCTGGCTCCTTGCTTGAGCCCCTGGCCACCCTTCTCATAGACTCTTTCCCTGTCCCTTGGTTTCAAACCCCTTTTACTGCCCCCCTCCTGTGCCTCCCCTCTGTTCCCCTCATGCTGTGGTATCTTGGCACTGCCAGGACCCTCTGCTCTCCATGCTTCTCTGTAGCCTGGGCTCCTCAAATGGGTTGTTGCTGCCCACTGACCCCTGCCTCACCTCCACAGGCCAGGTATCCCCTCACAGTGCCCTCTTTTGCCCCTCCTTTGGTACGGGTACCCCTCTGAGGATCTACTCACCTGGAGAAGAGGAGTGGAATTGGCTGGCCTCTGCACCCTGAAGGCTCCCTATGGGAAATACAGCCCTGGCCCTCACCTGGTTCCCCTACAGTGTCTGAACCTTGATGCCTGGCCGTGGACATGGGACTTGTACTGACCTACCCCTGAGCCATCCCCTCCCTTCCCTCCCCTGCCCTCTAGCCTTGCATGCTGCCCCTACCCTAACTCAGCCCTCCCTAACCCTGACCCTTTGGGCTCCAGTCCCCAGGACTGGCAGCTCGCCTGAGCCCCTGACTGCATTCCTTGTGTCCCTTGGTGTAGCATTGTATCTCTTAGTGTAGGGTCTGACCTGGGGGCCCCTTGCTTGGGCCCCCAAGCGCGCTCCCCTCAGTGCCCCTTGCATCTCCCTCTATCTCCTGTTCCTCACACAGCCCTTTCCTCCCCTTCCCCTCACACTTTCCTCTGGCACTGGCGTGTCTCCTCCTCCTTGGTCAGTCAGGTCAGTCCCTTGCCTGGGCTCCTGGCTTGGGTCCTGGCTCTCGCCCCTCTGGGCACCCACACCGATCCCCCGCCGTGCCCTCCCATCACCCTCCTCCTAGCCCCCTTCCCTTGCCAGGCTTCCTTTGCTAGGTCCCTGGCCCTGGATTCTCATCTGATCCAGAGCGCCTTATGGGAAACATAGCCCTGGGCCCCTTGCTCTCCCTGGGCCCTTGGTCCTGCACCCGGAATCCTGATACCTAGCAGTGGCCCTCAGCCTGGAGCCTGCAGCCCCCCTTCTGGAACCCCTACCTTCCCTCCCAAGTCTTGTCCCCCTGCCCCAGCCCTGGCCCTTGGCTCTCCATTCTCTGGCCTGGCTCCTAGCTTGAGCCTCTGGTGGCCCTTCTTGCTCTGTGCTTCCCAGGGCTTTGCCTGTGGACCCCTCCCTGGAGCTGCTTCCTTGCTCCCCATGGCTTCTCTGTACTGCAGTACCCTAGTGCAGCCCCACCTTCCCAGCCCTGCACTTCCCTGCTCTCCCTCCTCTAGGTCCCTAACCTGGGCTCCTTGCTGGGGTCCTGGCCCCCACCCCACCCACACCCCTCCTGCGGCCCTTCAGGCTGTGCCCTCTTTTGGCCCTCCTGTAATTTCTGTCTCTGCCAGGCCTGCTTTCCTTATCCCCTTCCCAAGATGCTCACCCGGGCCAGGGGATAGGACCTGGCCTCTTGGCCCTGTGGGCTCCCTTTGGGAAAAAGGAGTCCTGCTCCTTGCCTGGGCCCTTTGGCCTCCCTCAGCCAGGGCCTTGCTCCCGAACCCTGCCACCAGGCAGTGGACCTGAGCCTTGAGCTTTCCTCCCCCTGCGCCACCTGCTCCCCATTCCCCCTCCCTC